TCCTCCCCATTCCCCACTTTGGCATGTATGTACTGGTCCGACGACTCAAGGACCACTAGATTCACCTCTGCTCGCCATAATAGCCACAATCCACCACTCTGGTCCATCGCATCCACTCAAAAGGCATTTTCGAACCCTAAACCTTGGCAGATCCGTTGTGCTCTGTCTCCACTCGCGTGAGTTTCGAAAATAGCTAGCACATCCGTCTTGTAACGCTTCAAAATGTATCTGATTGATCTTCGAAAAGTAGGTTTATTTGCCCCCCGGCAATTCCATAGCAAACAATTCATATCCATATCCCAAGTCAATAGCATGCGGAACACCGGGGCACCCTGTTATTGTGTAATCGGGTCCCTCCCTTCCTCCGATAGATTTCTAGCCCGCGCTGCTTCTGCCACCTGGGTCTCCTCTACAAGGATCATCTCGCGACTTTCCTCCTGATTCACCAAGGGGATGGGTCTCTCCATCAACTCCGTACCCATTACCAAGTCCTTTGCGAACACTCCTCCGGGACGCCCCATATTCTCCGTCTCCACGCGAAGTCTCTTCCCGGATTCTGAGAGACTCGTTTCACCTTTTGTTGGGCCAAAAACAAGCCCTCTCATGGGCTTCTGCTGAACTGGCTTATTTTTAGCCCGGATCGGCCCAACTGGCTTTACTTTCCCATCCTTCTTCTCGTTAGGCCTAATTCTTGGCCCAAATGTTCCCTTTACAAAGCTATTTCCGCGTAAACCTTCCATACCCTGCGCGACACTCTTTCCATTCCTTTGATTAATTCCAATATTCTCATTCTCCTTATTTGCCTCCCTAATATCCTCTCCTTGTTTCTGGTTAGATTCGCTCGAATCCTCCTTTAGTTCCCCAAATCTGTTTGAGATCGCGACATTTACTTGGTCCTCCATATTTGGTATCTCTTGAAGATTCCTTCCTAAATTCACTCCCGGACTTACCGATGTGACTGGACTACTTCTCGCCAGAGTTACTACACGGTTTCCCGATCTCCTCACCGGCGTGAAACCCTCCTCTCTCTGTGGTGTCATAGTCATCTCTCTCCCAATCCGTGGGGATGTTGTAGCCACCACATTCTCCACCACTCTGGATGGGCATGAATGAATTAAATGTTCATAGATTCCACATCCCGAACAGATATTTCCCAGCCCCTCATACGCCACAAAGTACCGATCCCCATTAATTGAGACTGTCCCTTTCAAAGATTTCGCAAGATTTACCTCAACACACACCCTTGCGAATCTGGCTCTCTCGAACTTTAGTGTGGTAAGGTCTACTCGGACCGGCTTCCCAATACCCTTAGCAATTCCCAGCAGGATCGACGGGTGGTAGAAACTCACAGGTAAATTCATCAGTCGAACCCAAACTGGAGTTGTCTTGATTGTATCCCGCAGCGGATCGAACTCAGGGGACCACGCTTGCACCATAAGGTAACTGCCAAACGCTCTCCATGGCCCTCCCGTTAACGCTCCCCAATACTCTGCCTCCGTCTCAAACCTAACCATATAGAACTGTCTAGGAAGATCCACCACGTACATAGCACCTTTTGGCTTCCAAAGCTCCCTCAACTTCCTGCTCATAGCCGATATTTCGATATTTCTTCCCAAGACCTTAACAATCATGCACTGTTTCCAGAGCCCGTTCATAGCGTCGAGGACTTCTCTTTCAATCGTTATCTCAGGCTCCCCATCCTCCCCATCGGGGAACTCCACATGTAGCCTCGCAGTTACAAAAGCATCATCCATCACCATCTCCGGAGCTGGCATACCCCCAGCACTCATCCCCGTCACCTTCGATGCCCAAGTTTCCCTTGCATCCGGGGGGTCCCCCGGCGGACGTGTCTTATCACCAATATCCATCATCATGGCATCTCGATCCTCTGTACTCGCCCTTGAATCCCCTGAAACCCTAGCGTCGCTCATCAGATTTTTCTTATTTCAAGCACTTACGAATATAGAAGACATTTGACATTTATTAAGGTAAATTTAATTACATCATATATGTATGCCAAGCAAAAATGGTTGGACATTTCCGTAAAGGCACAAGTCTCTGCACACTTGAGCGGCACTTAAAGAAAGAAGAAGGAGACTTGAATGGAGAAACAATGAAGCTTTTGTCTATACAAAAAGTTTATACTCAGAAACTCACTCTGAGATGTCTCTTCCATAAAGAGCGCTGATTCCCTTCCCAGGATCGCTTTGTTTAACAAGAGATTCACCGACTAAAACCTAACAACAGACAAAAGAAAAGAAAAAAAAAACACAAGGAAGCTAGGATCAGGTTAACCATTGGCAATTTGAGCAATGTATCTCTTGAACCATAAAGTTTGTGAAATCTTACTGCTTTCACGCCGGCTTCTTGTACAAACGCGATGTCTTCGGGAGTGAATAACCCAGATTCTCCAACCACCTACCCGTTTAACGACACGTTCAAGTGAGAAGTGTAAGACTATAATGAGTAAGAGAAATAAGGATGTGAATCATGTGAATACTGCTTACGAGGATGTCTTTTTGACGGATCAGTTCGCCTCGCTCTCCTTCGAGTAGCTTCTTTGTGATACCAATATCTACCTCAAATGTTTCTGAAAATATAAAGGTTGATACACGGATCAAGAAGGATTGTGTACCTCTCTGGCTTTAAAGGATGTCTTGTTGAAGGTCTTACCAAGGTTACGGTTATTGATGCCAATGAGCTCAACTCCTTCGATTGCAAGAACGCGATCCATCTCTCTTTCGTCGTGAACCTAGCGGCAAGCAGTAACCAAGTGAATCAGAGAAACATTAATTGGATTAGGACGAGGCAGAAGCATTAGTTGAGGCATATCCCTCATCCTTGCGGAAACACATACAAACCTCCACGAGTGTAGCCATTCCAAGTATTTTGCAAATCTTAATCATGTATTTGATGTCAAGGTCAGGTAACACTGAAGCGATCAACAGAACTGCGTCTGCGCCCTTGCTTCTACCATAGTATATCTGCCATGCCTCTACGATGAACTCTTTGCATAACAAAGGGCACTGCATTTTTTTAATCACAAGACATCAGAACTTTGCATGTCACAATTGTATGACAAAGTATCTGAACAAAATTATACAGAGAGACGGGAAAAAAAGTGAGAAAGCAAGAACCTTAACACCAGCTTCTCTTATAGCTTGCAGGTTCTCAAAGCTTCCCTATATGGAAACAGAATCATGCCAAAGAACACTAAGCTACTACGTACTTGAAAGAATAATATTCAAAATACAAATGTTTAGTTGGCCTCAAAGAACCTCTTCTTCTTCACGGTGTTACCTTGAAGTATTTCTCATCTGTCAAAACACTAAGACATGCTGCTCCGCCCTTCTCATAAGCTTGTGCGATTGCAACCTAATATCTCAAGCCTTCAGAAGTAATTCTTTCATTTTCGAAACTCATTCACGTGACAGAATGGGAGAGAAAGGGGTGAATTCTTACTGGGTGAAAATCCTCTCTCAGTATTCCCCTGCTTGGAGAAGCTTTCTTTACCTCAGCTATTAAACCAGGTAAACCAGTCCTTTGATGTGCAGATTTAAGAGCACCAATGAAGTCTCTAGGAGGAGGAACATTTTCGAGAGCCTTCTTCAGCGTGTAAAGAGGCCTTTTCTCCTTCATCTGTGAATGTGGCCAACTTTTCAATCAGAGCAACTCAATGCAAGAAAATAAAAAAACGGAGATAAAAGAAAGAAAGAGAGAGAGAAGTTACCTGAGAAACTTCTTTATCCTTGTGCCATACGATCTCTTCCAGGATGTTGCGAGGCGTGTTTCCCTCGTTCTGGAGCCGGAACTCAAAAGGTCCCACGTAATGCAATGGAGGTCCGGTGGGTGGTCTTCTCCTTATCTTTATGCCCTGGCTAGCAACTACTTCATTCTGGTACATACCCACTTCTTTCTCAGTGATCTTGAGATCACTCACTTTACCCTCCAATGCCGAAGAAACACTTTCAGAACCTTCCGTGATTCCAGACTAACCAAAAGAGAAACAAAATCTGCTTAGTTCTCAGCATAATTACATAGTTTCTTCAAACACCACACAGATTCCTAAGTGCACAAGTCGTCAATGTTCAACAAGCAACAAAACGCTTCCAGGAGAGACTAGTAAATTTCAGAGGACCTACCTACCATTGATTCTGAGTTCTTATCCGAGAATTCGGGAACACTCCTGAAGCTGAAAGCTATTGATTGTGATACTGATACCAACTCGAATATAGACTCAGCTTAAGATTTCATCAATTCGAATCAATGAATTCGCACTGAAATTCGCAAACCGCAGCTATAGAATAAGAAGATGTACAAACATTCCGACGCTAAAATAGAAAAAAAAACAAGAAGAGTGGAATTGGAGGAAAAGGAAAAACCTGTTGAGCACGAAGAGGAGAACAAGAGGATGATCTGGTGATTCTTTGGAGGTTTAACGGAGAAACCCGCCGTTGAATGGCGGAGGAGGGGAAGGGCTGAAGGGAGAGAAGTCCTTCCATTTTCTGAGTTTCCTTCGCTGCTCCCGCCGGCAAATGCTTATATCTGCAGTGGTGGAGAGAACTTTTGTGCGGCGGATAATCACCTGCAAAAGACAATACTGGGTCCCACGGTGAGAAACATAATTAATAGTTTTGGGCCTTATGCTGGGTCAAAATTTAAAACTTGGCCCATTAAAGCCCATTTGGAAGCATTTCGACCTGACCTTTCGGGGTGATATCGTATAGTTCTTCATTCTTGCTCTGTGGCGAAGATCGGAGATGAAACCATTCTGATACTTCTAACTTATGATCTTGTACTCATCTAGTTACTCAAACTCTGTCTTCAAAATTAAGCAAGTTCAACTATGTTCTGTTATGATTTGTTACTTGTTAAATAGTTCAAGAAAAAACATTTTCGATCATTCGTTCGACCCACTCGAATAGTATTTGGAAGCGAGTTCTCTCATTTGTGCTGTAAAAAGCTCGTATACTTTTTTCCAACATTTTAAACAAACAGCACGGACGTTCTTTTTCTTATACATAATTATCCCGCAAGACGGTTATATAAATGGTAATAATATATATGGATAATCATAAAGATGGCCAGAGTGAATTTTATATATAAGTTAACATTGATCTCTAGTAGTGAGAGAGTTGTTTAGTGACGCAGAAACATAACAGTAATTATTAGCATATTTTAATGACCTAAAACATGTAGAATAATAGAGTCCGTTAAACAAAGACACCAAAGGTATATGCATGAGGCTATTATCGTCGGGAACAATGATTCGCTAGAGTCGGAGGGAAAAAGGGAGCGAAGACAAACGTCTGAGTGACACAATCGGCATCGAGACCCAGAAAGGCACGGCAGCAAGAGGGACCAACATTCCCGATTTCTCCATTTATTATCGATCGGAAAATTTCAGGGATACAGTCGGGAATCACTTCAAGCGATGACAAACAATCTGATTGGTCCTGTCCAGGGATAGGTTGCGTAGGCAACGTTTGAGCTGTACCCAACACGGCCATGTATACAACTGCAAGAATGAAAAAGAGCTTGTTGATCCACATTTTGATAAAGGACATGGAATGAGTTATTGAGTTGTTGTATATAACTCTGATATGAATTTGACATTTATAGTCAGTAATGAGAGTTATATAAGATGAGAGACAAATGTGAAATCTACTTACTTTTCATTTTGTGAACGGTTTCTTTGTGGATTCAAGGTAGGCACTCTTGCGATGACCCAAATAAAGGTTGACAGGTTGTTGTTTTTTTTTTGTTGGTGGTGGTTTATAAGTATTATTTATTTATTTTCCTCTTGATAATTCATTTCTACTTCTACTTTTCTTCTACGAAATTTAATGGTTTTTTTTATTAAAAAAAAGAGTTCCTTTCATAAAACTGTTTGAAAATTGGTTTTCTGAATTGATGCTACACGTACTTACAGGTTACTTGTCGTAATTTAATTCATTTTCAATAAGGGCTTGTACTTTGGCAATTTCCCCAAGGAACTTCGCTGACCGCCTCATGACAATGATTGTCCAAGACTTTCAGTTATTATTCTTTTCTTTTTTCAACATTGGCTTTCAGTTATTATTCTTACAATCAAGAAAAAAAAAATGATGATGTTTTCTTGTTTGTTCTCTTGTTGATAACCAACGAGTTGTAAATAAAAGTTGAAACAGAGGTTTTCATTTCCAAAAATTATGGTACCTTTAATTTAGATTCAAATTTCGAATAACCTAAGACTTATCAACGGCAATAAGGAAATGTCGAATACTTTTCTGCAAAACCAAAACGAAAGAAAAGAATCTTTGGGCCAAGATGTGCAGAACCCCAAATTCAATATGATCAAGCTCAGACAACAACCTGCAACGGTTATTTCACTTCACGACAACATAAGTAAATACAGAGATAGAGAAGCTCGTACGAAAAAGACGTTGCAGTTGCAGACTAGTATGGTAAAACCACTAAAGCTGGCAAATCGGTTCTCAATCCTTGATGAGCTTACTACCTCCTGATCTTGACATCTGTCAATTACTATTAGGGTTTTGCATCAATTATATAAATAAGTCTCATTTGTATTGAGAAACTTAATATAAGAAAAGCAATAAACAGAACAAATGTTTATCACTCTCGGATCATTTTTCTGAGTCTTATTTTCACTTTTATGGTATCAGAGCTATGAAAACTAGATCCATGGAGCTCTTTACTATTCCTCCTTTTAACATCACAAATTGTGTAACTGTCACTCTTACTGAGAAAAACTATATTTTATGGAAATCGCAATTTGAGAGCTTTCTCGGAGGTCAACAGTTACTGGGTTTTGTGAATGGATCTGTTCAACAACCAGCACCAACCATCACAGTTCCTGGTATCAATGGCTCCAGCGTTGAAGCTTCGAATCCTGACCACTACACATGGTTACAAATCGATCAGATTGTCTCCTCATGGCTACGTGGTTCCTTTGCTGAAGACATCCTTAGCCTTGTCGTCAACTGTAATACATCTCATGAGATCTGGGTAACTCTAGCGAAGCACTACAATCGTGTATCTGCTTCTCGCCTCTTCGAGCTTCAAAGACGTCTACAAACTATCACAAAAGGAGAAAAATCCATGGTTGATTTTCTCAAAGAAGTTAAAAGCTTATGCGACCAACTCTCCTCCATCGGCAATCCTTCATCCGAGCGTATGAAAATATTTGCTGCTCTCAATGGACTTGGTCGTGAATATGAGCCTATCAAGACAAGCATCGAAGGTCTTTTAAATACCTATCCTCCTCCCTCCTTCGAGGATGTAACCCCTCGTCTCACCGGATATGCCGACCGTCTCTGCAGTTATGACACCGAGAATGCCATTTCACCCCACCTTGCTTTTAATGTGTCACACACGAGTAACCCCCAGTTCTACTACAACAACAATAGAGGGCGAGGATATAACTCCAACATAAGAGGCAGAGGATCTTATTCTACCATTGGCAGAGGGTTTCACCAACAAATCTCATCCTCCAATAGCTCCTCTGTCTCCTCAAACAATGACCCGCGACCAAAATGTCAGATCTGTGGCAAGAAGGGACACCAGGCGTTGAGCTGCTGGCACAGATTCAACCATAGCTACCATGAGTCACAGCTTCCCGTCGCTCTAGCTGCTATGAGAATAACCGATGTTTCAGACCAGGGAGGACAAGAATGGTATCCTGATACCGGAGCTACCGCACACATAACAAATGCTCCTCATAATCTGCAGTTCTCTCAGCCTTATAGTGGTTCTGATCAAGTCATTGTTGGTAATGGAGAATTTCTGCCAATCACACACACAGGATCCACAAACCTCGCCTCCTCATCAGGTAATCTTCCTTTAATGAAGTTCTGGTGTGTCCTGATATCACTAAATCTTTGTTGTCAGTTTCAAAGCTCACCGATGATTATTCATGCTCCTTTGAGTCTGACTGTGATGCTGTTCGTATAAATGATAATGCAACAAGGAAGTTACTAACTCAGGGAAGTCGGTGTGAGAGTTTGTATCGGTTGAAGGATCACGCCAAAGGTTTTCAAGCTTTCTACTCCACCAGACAACAAGCTGCAAGTGAAGATGTCTGGCATAGAAGACTTGGACATCCCCATAGCGAAGTTCTTCACAACCTTTCTGCAAATAAAGCCATTGCTATTAATAAACGTTCTAGTCTGGTGTGTGAGTCTTGTCGACTAGGAAAAAGCACTCGCCTTCCATTTTCTGCTTCTTCTTTTAAAGCGTCTTGGCCCTTAGAGAGAGTCCATTGTGATCTCTGGGGTCCTTCACCTATAATCTCTGTACAAGGATTCAGATATTATGTGATTTTTATCGATAATTATTCACGCTACTGCTGGTTTTACCCGCTAAAGAAGAAGTCACATTTTTATTCAACATTCGTAATCTTCCAGAAGTTTGTTGAAAATCAACTCAATCGTAAAATAGGAATCTTCCAATGCGATGGTGGTGGTGAATTCATCAGCTCACAGTTTCTGAATCATCTGCAGCAAAGCGGGATCCAACAGTTTATCTCCTGTCTTTACACACCTCAACAGAACGGTTTGGCGGAGAGAAAACATAGAGTTCTTGTTGAATTGGGACTGTCAATGATGTTTCAAGCGAAACTACCTCATAAGTTCTGGGTATTCTTTACGGTGAACTTTCTCAGTAATTTGATTCCGACAACAGCTCTCGAACCATCTACATCACCATTTGAGACGCTTTATGGTAAACCTCCAGAATATTCGGCTTTAAGAACCTTTGGGTGTGTCTGTTATCCCACTTTACGAAATTATTCTTCAAATAAGTTTGATCCTCGGTCGTTGAAGTGCGTCTTCCTTGGCTATAACGAGAAGTTTAAAGGATACAGGTGTCTCTTTCCACCAACAGGCAGAGTCTACATAAGTAGACATGTGATATTTGATGAAGAGGTCTTTCCATTCCAGGACGTGTATGCTTCTCTTCATCCACCTGCAGTAACTCCTCTAATCTCAACGTGGCATAAGTATAATATTTCCACAGCTGTAGCTCCTACAAGCGGTTCTGCATCATCTCCACCTACCACAAATTCAAGTGAAGCTGCAATACCTACTACTGATGTTGTGTTAAAGATACCACTGCTATGCTATGGTTTCCCAGTTCCACAAACCTCTCAAAACCAAGACTCTGCAGCTCAAATGTTTAATGATTCAGACTTTTCTCCACTCCCCTCTGCATCCACTCCGCCTACTACTGCTGTGAGTGCAAATTCTAGACATACTGCAGGCTCAGATCAGAGTTCCCTAGGTGACAGTGCTCCAACAATAGCAAGTACCACTGATGTTTCCAGTCAACAACCTGCAACATCCCTGCAGTCAAGAGTTATCGCCACCCCAAGCCACAAAATGGTTACAAGATCAAAAACAGGCATCACAAAGCCCAACCCGAGGTATGCTCTGCTGACTCACAAAGTTTCCTACCCAGAACCCAGAACGGTCACAGCTGCTTTAAAAGACAAAGGATGGACAGGGGCAATGACAACCGAAATAAGGAATTGTCATGAAACAAGAACATGGACTCTTGTTCCATACTCTCCAGACATGCACGTTCTAGGAAGCAAATGGGTTTTCAGTACTAAACTGAATGCAGATGGGTCTCTGAACAAGCTTAAAGCGAGATTGGTAGCAAAAGGCTACGACCAAGAAGAAGGCATTGACTATTTAGAAACGTACAGTCCAGTGGTTCGCTCAGCCACAGTTCGAATTGTGATCCATGTTGCAACAGTCATGGACTGGGATATAAAGCAAATGAATGTGCAGAATGCATTCTTGCACGGAGATCTTACTGAGACAGTGTATATGACGCAGCCCGCAGACTTTGTTGATCCAACAAAACCGGATCATGTATGTCACCTGCATAAATCTCTCTATGGCTTAAAGCAATCGCCACGAGCTTGGTTTGATAAATTCAGTAACTTTCTACTTGAGTTCGGCTTTATCTGCAGTATTCCTGATCCGTCTTTGTTTGTTTACACAAAGAACAAAGATGTGATCATGCTCCTTTTGTATGTGGATGACATGGTGATTACAGGTAACAACTCCTCTGCGTTAAACAGTCTTCTGACAGAGCTCAAGAAGCAGTTTCGGATGACAGATATGGGAAAACTTCACTACTTCCTTGGCATTCAAGCTCAATTCCATTCAGAAGGGCCTATAACGATAGCGACTGGGCAGGCTGTCCAACAACAAGGCATTCTACAGGTGGTTATTGTACCTTTCTCGGACAAAATCTCATTTCCTGGTCTTCGAAGAAACAGGATACAGTCGCCAAGAGCTCTACAGAGGCAGAGTATCGGTCCCTCTATGAAACTGCAGGAGAAATCACGTGGTTGAAGTCCATACTGAAGGAACTTGGTGTCCCTCTAAACAAAACGTCTGAGCTATACTGTGACAATCTCTCTGCCGTATATTTCCTGCATACCACGCAAGAACAAAACACTTTGGAGTGCATTATCACTATGTCCGTGAACAAGTTGCTCTTGGTACTCTCCTGGTTCATCACATCCCAGGTACACTCCAAATCGCAGACATATTCACGAAATCTCTTCCTTGTAATGCCTTTCTTTCTTTGAGGTACAAACTTGGTGTTGACTTGCCATCTACACCAAGTTTGAGAGGGGATATCAACGGCAATAAGGAAATGTCGAATACTTTTCTGCAATACCAAAACGAAAAAAAAGAATCTTTGGGTCAAGACGTGCAGAAGCCCAAATTCAATATGACCAAGCCCAGTCAACAACCTGCAACGGTTATCTCACTTCACGACAACATAAGTAAATAC